TGTGAACTTTTTCTTATCAAGAAATATATGTGTGTGTGCAACATGATTTATTTTGGATGCAACATTTTGGCAGAACATTCACTACATAAAACATATTTTGAGTGATATTAAAAGACCTCCGCTGTAGAAATATAAACCATTGAAAGAATGCTGTAGTTTACAAACAGCGTCCTGTTTGTAAATTGATGTAAACTGTATGAAACTGTGTTCATACAGTTTACAGAAAAAAGTAAATCTTGGACTAGCTGAGCCTTACATAACCAGGCAAGATTACTGTTAGGCCATACGATTTAAGTTTTTTTCTTAAGTGCCTTCATCATGAACAGTATTTCAAACTAACATTGCATCAGGACTTTTAGTTTATTAAAATACCCTCATCATCCTTTGGTTTTCAAGAATCAATTTTTTAAGCCATGGCTCCCCGTTTGATGCTGAGAAGAATTACAGAATTGCATCATCTTTTTCTCTTTGGTCCCACATAAAAATGTTACTAAATTAGGTTTTAAAAAGGAACTCCAACCTAAATGTCTGAAACTGGTACAAAAATGCTTTTAACTGGTATAATTAAATATTAACAAATAAATAAATAGCAAATAAAATAAGGTTTTAGCTTCACTTCACTAGCTTCCTGTTCAGTTTTAAATATTTTTCTAAATTTTTATTTCTTACAATAGTCTTATTGTTTCCTTTTTTTGTAGTTGATGGTGCCACGTAAAGCTTTCTGATCATCTGACCAGATGGCTTTGAGTTTCCATAAATCCCAAAGGAAACAGAGACTTTGCTGTTTTGGTTCCTAAATCAAAGCAAGCTGGTGCTCGAGGTCAAGCAGGCAGGATCCATCTTTTTCTGTTTTTAAAACAAAAAAAAAGAAATATAAAATACAAACACCTTTTCTCTTTGACTTTAAGCTGAGAACGGCTAATTTTTGTCCTCTTTCTGTTTACTCTAGCGTTTTAAATCTCCTGTATCTCCTACGTGTTTTTCTGCAACTGTTTTATTGTTTCACTTCTGTTTGCTGCCTTACATTTTTGTACAGCATTTTTGCTTAGCTGTTATGTTGTTCTTTTTAAGAGCTTTGAAAATCAAATGGTTTGGAGTCCCCATAGAAATCAGAATACTGAGGTTTTACAACAACAATGTGTGCAAATAAACCTTTTATTTCTTATGACTTGTATCTTGACAAATATTTAAAAACCCACATGGCAATTCAATCTGTGAGTTAACAGGTTGCTTAAGTTTCTAAAAATGCAGATAATGTAATTATAGCTTGTTTGGCAAAAAGGAGTTGGCACTGTTATTAAGCACATATTAACAACCACATCCAATGTATCAATGAACTTGGAACCCGAAATTTGACTTTATATTGCGCCCAGATGCAATTTCTAAATTCCGAACTAAACTGAACACAGAAAAAGTTGCATTTGGGATTCACTGTGGTCCATTTATTTCCTACAGGCAGTTCTTGCAAGGCTCTGGTAAAGAAAAAAATAAATACGTTTCAAAATGTCATTTTTGGAATTTTGTTGCAGATAACATTTACATCTCAGTTAGTTTGAAAATGTTAATTTTACAGATAAATATTATTGGTACTATTTCTTCTACTGAGACAGCCCAAGTATTGGCGGCTGTACTGGCTCTGTAATGCGTAGTGACTGTGTAATAAACCTAATGCATAAGCATCCTTCTCTGCCTAAAATACTGGATGTTACCGTGAAGAAATTTTTCCCAGTTCGACTCTCATACATACCTGCCTCAAAATGTGCTGCTGTATGGCTGACCTGAAATGTTCCTTTGCTGGTTATCCTGGCTGTGTGCTCCGGGTCATTGAAGTGTTAGAAGACCCAGCCCCGACCCATCTTCAATGCTTTCACTGAAGGAAGGAGGTTATTACCCCAAAGCTCACGATACATTGTCCCAGTCATCCTCTCGTTATTACAGTGCAGTCACCCTGTCCCATGTGGAAAAAATCTCTCGCAAAGTATGATGCTACCAACCCCATGCTTCACAGTAGGGATGGTTTTCTTGGGATGGCACCCTTCATTCCTCTTCCTCCAAACACGGTAAGTGGAATTATGACCAAAAAGTTCTATTTTGGTCTCATCTCACCTCATGACTTTTTCCCATGTCACCGCTGGATCATCCAAGTGGTCTTTGGCAAACTTAAGACTGGCCTTGTCATGTGCTGGTTTATGCAGGGGAACCTTCTGTGCCATGCATGATTTCAAACCATGACGTCTTAGTTTATTATCAACATTACCCTTGGAAACGGGTTTTCCAGCTCTTTTCAGGTCATTGACCACCACCTCCCATGTAATTCTCGGCTGATTTCTGACCTTTCTTTGGATCATTGGGGTCCCAAGGAGGTGAGATTTTGCATGGAGCCCCAGTCCGAGGGAGATTGACAGTCATGTTTCAGTCAGCTTCTTTCATTTCCTAATGATTGCTCCAGCAGTGGACTTTTTTCACCAAGCTGCTTGGCAATTCACCCATAGCCCTTTCCAGCCTTGTGGAGGTGTAATATTTTTGGTCTTGGCCATGTTAGTCGTTGGATTCGTACTGATTATATGGGGTGGACAGGTTTCTTTATGTAGCTAACTACATCAAATAGGTGCTTCTAATTTAGGATAATAAATGGAGTGGAGTTGGATATTTTGAAGGCAGACAAACAAGTGTTTGAGTGTCAGAATTCTAGCTGATAGAATGGTGTTCAAATACTTATTTGAAGGTGTATCGTACAAATCCATCCATTTTTTTTCCACTTTTTCTGGGGCCGGATAGAGGAGGCAGCAGTCTAAGCAAAGATGCACAGACTTTCCGACCCACACACACCTCCTCCAGCTGCTCTGGGGGGACCTAGAGGCGACACCAGGCCAGCACAGAGACATAGTCCCCCCTGTGTGTCCTGGGCCTTCCAGGAGGCCTCCTCCCAAAAGAGCATGCCCTGAACACCTCCCAAGTGAGGTGACCAGGAGGCATTAGGAACAGAAGCTCGAGCCACCTCAGCTGGCTCCTTTGGATGTGGGGGAACAATGACTCTACTCCGAACTCCTCCCGGGTAACTGAGCTCCTCACCCGATCTCGAAGGGTGCCCCCAGCCAGCCTGCGAAGGAAACTAATTTCGGCCATGCGCATTCGTGATCTTGTCCTTTCGGTCATTACCCAGATCTCATGACCATAGGTGAGGGTGGGAACGTTGCAATCGATCAGTAAATCGAGAGCTTTTCCCCCCAACTCATCTCCCTCTTCATTACGACAATCCTATACAGCGACAGCATCACTGTCGGCACCGCACCGATCCGTCTATCAATCTCACGGTCCATCCGTCCCTCACTCGTGAACAAGTCCCAGAGATACTTGAACTCTTCCACTTGAGATAAGGACTCTCTACTGACCTGAAGAGGGGAATCCACCTTTCTCTGGTGGAGAACAATGGCCTCGGATTTGGAGATGCTGTGTCATACAAATAAGTAGCTAAAAAAAATCATATATTGTGATTTCTGGATTTTTTTTTTTTTTTGATTATGACTCTCAGAGTGGACATTCACCTACGATGACAATTTCAGACCCCTCCATGATTTAGTGGGAGAACTTACAGAATAGCAGGGTGTTCAGATACTTATTTTGCTCACTGTATTCTCCTTTTGTCGATAACTCACTCATCAAAGACTAAGTCAATGTTTAACATAGGTTTGTACATTGAACCATCTCAGTTTATGGTACCTCTTCTTTCTTTTGCTGTGTGTACGGTGTTTGTCCTCATCTTTTCATGTACAGCCATAAATACCAATGTAATCTACAGTGTTATTCTGTTGAAAATAGCAGAATTATGTATGTCATGTAAGTGGGTCCATGCCTGTTTTTTTTTTTCAATGCATAAATAGATATGATAAAAGTGTGCTAGGGCTCTATTTACCCCCTTTACTGTGATGCCACTTGTGCAAACCAGTTTCATGGTTCCTAAGTTTTCTGACAGAGAAACTAGTCAAAAATTCTTCATATCTGACCTTGGTAAAGGAGTTGCAAGCAGTTGTTGATTGTTTAGATTGCACAAGAGCCTAAACACACCTTTCCAAAGTTACACCACAGTGATGGAGCCATCATGGTGCTGCGATATTATATATATTCAGTGGGCTCAAGACTGCTGGTCAAAATGAATGGGACGATTGATGGAGCTAAATAAAGGGAGACAGTGAATATAAAGCATGCTAGATGCTGCAAAACACATAAGCCTGAGCTACGATAGAGTGGTTTAGCACATGTGTAAGGATGCCCCTGAATGGCTCATCCAAAATTCAAATAGGAATAAAATGTAAGAAACAACTGTCAACGACGCTCACTCTGCAATTTAGATAAAACATTTTCAATTGCCTTTGTTTCAAAAGTGCAGTCTCATAATCCTGGTTAAAATTTACCGTGCATTCAACCCTCTGTGCAGCTTTAAAGATTTCTACACGTTTTTTTTTTAATCTTAGTTTTGTTAACATAAGTGAGACATCCCTTCCCACTGATAACGACTGCCACCACAGAGTTGGAAAGTGTATGTGTGGGTGTTTTGGAGGGTATACACATGAAATGTAAAGAAATTAAAAATAAGCCAACGTAATCCAGTCTTTTTGATGTAAAGTTGAGACCAAAATGGTTATATTTACACAGATAGTGCTATCTAAGAAACTAAATCACAACTTATTCTCCTGGATACTCAGCTTTTGCTTCTCTCGAGGAAAAGTTCAGTGCGTGTCTCTTTATCATGTAATAATGTCATGATATTATATTACATCCAGATTCCTGTTCTGCATGCATGACATTTCTGGCTCACCTATTAAGGATTTTTGTCTAATCTTGTTATGTTTTTATCTCATAACACCTACATAGGTAAAGTGGACAGAGGAAGGAAGAGAGTGTAGCAGGGAGGGTGCAAAATGGGAAAGGAGAGTGTAAAAAGAGAGACTAACAGAAGCTCCTCCTCGTTCGTGGTGTGCGTTTCTTGTGTTTTTCTCATCCGGCTTCTCACTCACACTCTCTCGCTCAGCAGTACTCAGAGGTAGGGAGCAAATATTCTCAGTTGGAAAAGGTGGAGAGATAAATTTGATCTTTTATTTGTTTTGGTCCTGAGAAAAAAAAGGCCAGAAAAGGAAAAAGAAAGGTAGAAATTATTGTGTTTATTTTGGGGGAGGGGCAGTGCCACCAGAGCTTGCCTGCCTGAACGCCTGCCTGCCTGCCTGCTGCATGTGCTCAGCCTGCTTACACACTGTGTTTCCAGATGGAGAGGAAGCAGGGAGAGGTGGACCACCTGGAGCGCCCGAGCCCACTGACTGACAAGGAGAGGGTGATGATCCAGGACTCGTGGGCGAATGTCTACCAGAACTGTGAGGACGTCGGGGTTGCCATACTGGTCAGGTATTTCCATCTGCTGTTTGAGGTTTTGATTCATGGGGATTTTGCTTGTGACAGAGTGGGGGTAAAGTGATGCTGTTGTGATGGATTTTATCAGGTGTTTTTCAATTTCTACCCTCCTCTGCAACTTTACTTAGTTTCCAACCCATAATTTTGATCCTTCCCCCTATAGATCTGAAATATACTGAGGCACCTGCTGGAGGTAGCGGATGCACGACCTATTTTTATTTTTTTTTTTTTGGAAATAGGTCCAGACTCCAAACTGAGGGATTTCCCCTATTAGAGTAACAAATGACACACTTCAATGGTAATCTTGGCCATGCAATAGCCTTATCTCTATCTCTGTATCTCATTGTCTTCTTTTATTTTAGATATTTAAAGCAAATCAATCAAATCCCTTATGGAAACATATTTGGCTGTCTTTCCCTTGCAGCACAGACTATGTTTTGAATACCTGCAGCCACAGGACTTCATCACTCAGCGAGACCTTTAAGTCTTCCCAGAAAACAAAGGGCTTTGAGTTTATTTTTACTTCTTTTATTGTAATACACCCAATCAGTCATTTCAGCATCTCAATTCATCTATTTATGGCCATCTTGCAAAGCTGTTTAAAACGCTCTCACACTCATCTTTTTTTTTGGCATTAATACTGCAATCCAAGAATGGGAAACTGTTGCAAAAGTCAGCCATCTGCACGGATGTGTGAATGCTTTTGACATTTGGTCATGTGTGACGGGATCCGCCGCATGATACAGAATGTCTTAATAATCCTTTTTGATTGCAGAGGGGCATCATGTGACAGGCGTCACGCATTGCTAGTGAAGCAATGTGTGTGTGTGTAGGGGGTGATCTAGATAGCCTTGTAAATCAATTCAGATATGTTCAAATTCTTTTTCATATTTTGTATTGTATTGTGAATTATTTGGCAAACCAAAAGACATAGAAATATAAGTTATTCCCCTAATTTACAGATAAATATCACAGCAAGCTTTTTCAATTTACAGTCTCATTAACTCAGTCTCATTTGCTAAACAGCTCAAGTTTAATCAAACCAGATACAAATTTTCTCAGGACATACATTTTTAAGTCTGGCTATAGATTACCATTTTAATTCAGCACCGGACTTTGACTAGACCATTGAACACAATCATATATTTAATTCTATAGGTCTGGCTATATGATCAAGGTTATTAGCCAAAAAAGTGAACCTTAAATCAGTCTCTTCCAGCTTCTAAAAGCTTTTACTTCTAGCACTGTCCTGTTTTCACCTGCATCTGTTATCACATTAACCTTTATCTGCTTCTTTGTGTCTGCCAAAGAAAAACATCCCGATCCATGATGCTCCCAACACCATGTTACATACTTATGATGAGTTAGCTTAGAGTGTTGGTCTAGTAATGATTGACAGCTGCACAAAAACATATCAAATTTAATGCAATGGAAAATATTGTTTTACATATGCGTTTTGTTCCTGGGATTTTCACAAAAATTTAGCTAATTTTCTAAATGCCTCTGAAATAAATTGGTGACACTTGTTAAATGCAGCATAAAAAATATTTCAGCAGGAAAAGGGATAAAATGGTGCTCTAAAACTCCAACTACTTGTTTCACCTTCAGCAGACACCAAAATCAGGCAACTATTTTTAATAAAACCTTTCATGCTGAGATGAAATTTTTTTTTTTTCTTAAGCAACAGGATGAGTTATTCCTTATCTGCGATCAATAATACTAGAGCAGAAATTCCTTATCCATGTTCAGTTGTGTGTTTATATCATTATCACTACAGTACATGCAGCTTTTTTGCATATTGTGTTTTCCTCACATGATTCAGTGATATTCATGTTAATAGAGTATAAATGCCTCACTATTTTAGGGTTTTAGATGACATCCTAAGGCAGGAGGTTGTCCTAACTGCAGTTTAGGGGTATTCAAATAAAGGGGATTTAATACAAATTTATATCAAACATTTTCAGACTTTTATGATTCATTTCCTTAACTTCTCAGATATGCTTCATTGTGTTGGTCTCTTCTTCATAAAGTCCCAAGAAGATAAGCCAAAAACATTTGCATATTAATACTTTTTTTGAGGCCCTTCAGCTGTAGCATATTCACAAATACACCCAAATGAAGATAATAAATGTGATGGATATGACTCCTTTTTGACCCCATATTTTCCTTACTTACATTCCATCACAAAGAGCCTACAGCCTGCGGGAATGTGAAGAACGAAAGCTGATTGGAAAACCTGGCCTTGTAAAATACTCTGCTAGAAGAATAAGAAAAACATCCTGTCACTCTTTGCAAGACCATCAGGGCTAATATTAATCCTACAAAATTACAATCTTTTTGGTAACAGATAAGATCTATGGGAACAAATCACAGCGCTCCGTCTCTGAAATTAGAAGCTGTCTTCAGTTCAGCTCTTCAATTATTCTTGAAATAAGATAAAGAAGGATTAAGAGCCCAATGACCACAGAAAATTCTAATTAGGCTATTTATATGCATCCACAGGTCATGCAATTACAAGACAGAGAGATTAAACACTGTCGCTCCTCATTAGTTTGCAGCGAAAAAGAGAATATGAAGCTCCGGCATTTTCAAAGCCTCTCCACCATCTGAACTCACTAAACATGTGCTAACTTCCTCTCTTTTCACAAGTAAAGCCCTGAGATGTTATCACATGTGTCAGAGCTAGCAGAAAAAAGAAATATTTGCTTCCTTTTTGTGTAAGCAGTTGCAGAGCCAGGGGGAGATGGGACATCGTGATTTGATAGCCAGCAACCAGATGTATTGGCCTTTTTCCCAGAACAGTGTGAGGGGGTGAGCTTTCTAGGTTCCTCTTTGGTAATTCACTATAATACTGTACCTCTGAGGGTCAAGCAGGGATGTAATTAAAGAAACATCAAAGTGACTACTGGCTATAATGAATCTGGTTGTGCAAATAAATAGAATTTTGACCTGGAATTTCTGTTTTAAAGGGAAAACTGCAAAGAAATATGAAGTAATCACTGCTGCAGGTAAATTTAATTGCTTTAAATGTAGAGTAAATCAGGTAAAGGAGTATTTGTGGAGGAATGAAATTTTGCATCAGGCCTTAGTTAGCAATTCTACCAATCACCAACTGAAAGGTCATATAAATAAACAAAATATGTAGATATTGGTGTGTTGGGTTGTACAATGTGGTCAGAAAGCTAGAAAGTTGCTGTTCCAAATATTTTGGTTGCTTGCATGCTTTATCAGTACATTTCTTTCCCTTCGTACTACTCTCAAACCTGAAAAATCAAGCCTTTGAGGTTAATTAGTGACTCCAAACCCTGTAAGGATTAGAGGGGTTTCTGCATGGTTGATCTCAGTTGGTCTTATGGTGAAACAGGGCCCTGTCCAATTTGTACCTCCTCACATGTTAATTGGCAGCATCTTTCCTCAAGTTGGTTCAACAGCTGACAGTGAAATGTTTATTTTTATTTAACCAGGAAAGTCTCAATGAAATTACTAATCTCTTTTTCGACTGAGTCCTATCCCTGTCACAGCACAGATCACAACAGTTCAGTACATTACGGATAATTTTATGACCGTTTACAAAATTTAAAAACCATTTATTTCATTTCCTAATCTTTGGTTTATTGAAACCGGCTCCTTTAATTCCCAGTCTTCTTGTAAGTTGTTCCATGTTGTGGGGGCAGAATACTGAAATGCCACCTTACCAGCTTCTGCACTGATATTTAGTACAGAGAGACGCAGTTGTGAATATAGAAGGATTCTGAAAAAAATTTTATGGATTTGGCTTGTGAAATTTCTAGAAACATGTTTCTTTAAGTAAATAACACCCTGACAACACTTATCTAAACACTTCATACTTTTTAGTTAAGCTGTTTATATGAGTTTGTATAAGTATGTTTGTATTTATTCTTGGCCAATCCATTAAAAAGTTGCAATGAGCACAACTCATACATGCCATTGACACTATACAATGAAACACTGGCATGAAATATACTCACATATTTTAGCAGAACCTGATTTTAACATTAATTATCTTATGATACACTTTTCAGACACTCTCCGCACTAATGAAGATGAGATCCCCTTTCTGTGTTGATTCACACTAATTCCAAAGGCAGTGCAATGCATCTTTTATTTTTACTTCAACCAATAGTTATTTGACAGTTTAGGGGGCATTCATACATCCTGTCTGCTTCATTGAGCTTTTATTCCAAGGAAATCCTTGAGTGTGAACAACAAGAGTTAAGGACTCAGAATAGGGGCCCCAGTATTCAGGGCAAACAGACTGATTTTTCAGAAGTGTTTAATATAAAATGGATCTGCAGTAGCAGCGGCTAGGGCGTCTAGGGCAGGAACCTCTGCAGAAAGGAAAGACAGGTTAGTGATCACATAAATCTGGAGGAGGAAGATAATATACGTCAGTCACTAACCTGGTTTAGTAGTTCAGTCTGTGCCTGGAGAATGTGGCCGGTTGGCTGACAACAAGATGCGGCGGGCGCCGCTCACGGAGTCCCAGACGCCGCAGCCCCGAAGGAAGTAAAACAAGCGAGACATCGAAATCAGGCAGATGAAGGAAGGCAGGATAATCCAGAGTGCTAAGCCAAAGCCGGTGCAGATGACGTGGACAGGATACAGAACCAGGATATCAGAAGTCCAAAGAGGTTCCAGAGGGAAATCCAGGTCAGTGACAGGAAGCAGTTCCAAGTAAATTAAACAGGCAGAATCCAGCAGGAGTTCAAAGACAAGTCAGGCAAACAGGTGAGATGGGAACACGCAGACTCAGTAGTTGAGAGGCAGAACTGGTCACGATAGGGTATTAAGAAACACTCAGGTAATTCTGGAACACTCTCACCACTGGCTTGAAAATAATAATTGACTGAAAGCAGGCAGGTTAAAACAGATCAGACGGGAACAGGCAGGCTCAGTGGTTGAAAGGCAGAACAGGTAATCAGAAACCCTAAGGTAACGCTGGACACTCTCTCTCAACTGGCTTGAGGAAAATCTTGTGCTGATGACTGGTTTATGGGCAGGCTAAATAGAAACTGGAGCAGATGGACCAGATGAACAGTAGGACAAACTAGGCAGAGTTAGACAAGTGAATGAAATGAGTAATTAAGCCAGTCACCAGCGACAAGATCATGAGAACAAGGGCATTGATATCATAGAAAAACTATTTTCTGACACAGTGGGAGGCTGTAAACCACAATGCATAAGTGCGCTACAAAACAGGAGCGCATAATAAACAATGTATACTTCAGAGACATTGCAGGACTGTTTTATATAATTCGCCTTGTTTCTTGGTATTTATATCCACCTTAATGAATATTATAGATCTGCTAAACTACACTAAGAAACACTGTGACAGCAGATATAGTTCACCCACTCACCCTTTAGCTAGCAAAGGTTATCTGTTCACTAAATCTGAAGTTTACCTCTGTTGTTTTCCTTCTTCACAGGCTGTTTGTGAACTTTCCTTCGTCCAAACTGTACTTTAGCCAGTTCAAGCATATTAAGGACACGGAGGAGCTGGAACAGAGCTCCCAGCTCAGAAAACATGCCCAGAGAGTCATGAACGCCATTAACACATTGGTGGAAAACATTGAAGACTCAGAGAAGATGGCCTCGGTATTGAAGTTGGTTGGCAAAGCCCATGCACTCAGACACAAGGTGGATCCAGTGTACTTTAAGGTAAAAACTCTATGAAAATAAATCAATGCAAACAGTGGATGTTTGAAATGAACTTCTATGACTGGATTAACAAACATAAAGAAAGAAAATTCATTCTGTATCAGTAGTAGTAGGTTGTGTCATTTAGGAACTTTTTTATCTGGTTAACACGTCATTAAAAAAAGGTTAAAGCCTGATATTTACATCCAGTGTTTAAAAAGGCATATTTAACTCTCATGGATTTACCTTGCATCTAACTGAACCTTTCCAATGTTACGCAGATTGGTATTACCAAATGTACTTCTATTTATTAAAAGTCAGAATTATTAGTCTTTATAAAATCCACAAAAGTTCACATTTTCTTGGTATTTGAAATACTGTAATACCGTTTTAGCTGTTTCCCTTGAACATTTTTTAGTTTCTTTCCACCTTCTTCTCACATTGTACTAACATGTATATCTATTTATATATATGCTCCAGACAAGACTAATGAACCTGCATCCAATTTGTAGGCATTGTTGCTGAAACACAGTTTTTCTGCTGTGCTCAAAAACATTAGGGCTTTGTGATGTTCACTCCAAAGCATTGACTTTGTTGTTTTAGTCCATTTTGTAATTAATTTACTTAGAATATTTGTCCATTTTTGCCCAGGCTTGGATTTTCTTTCTGAAAAATTAAGATGATACTTTGAAGTTATCATAAAAATGCTTTTACCTGTGGTCTACTTTTGAAGTCCACATGTCTTAATCTTACCTGCAAGCTGAATTATTGTGGTGTTTGTGCATTTTCAAACCCACTAGAATCCTATCTTGTCCTATTCCAGCCTCAAACTGTTCGATAGGCAAGAAAAACAGCGAGTAACGTTTTATGCATTTATGGATAGCAACATTTTTTTTTGCCTTTTTACCTCCTGATTGGCTGAAAAACAAACAGTAGACGACCACAGGGTGACCCTTTTGTCAAATTAGCTCGAAAAGTTCTGCTATTTGTCTCTCTTTTTCTTGAACGTATTAAATTGAAGCAGGTCCAGACTGATTATGTGTAGAAATAAATAGGAATTATACCCATTAAAAAGTCATCAACCTGGCTTGCCAGGTACCTCACAATTGGGTTGGTGTTCTCAGGTTTGTAAGTTTACCTTCTTTAATCCAAACATAATTAGTTTAATAAGGGCCAGACACCTTAGTTTTAGTTTTTCCACATGATAAATCTTTAATTTCATATGTTTTTTTCCCTTTATTGATCTATAGCCTATATTTTTTCTTCTTCCAACTCCTTTTGGGTCATTGGCTTTCTCCTCTAATGAATGTAATTTCTGCCCATTTAAGTACAGGACTAGTGAAAATTTTTTACCAGCATCAGGTAGCATCTTCACAAAGGTCTTAGGCTTTTGTTCTATTTAAAACTTTATTCATGTTCCTTCATTTAACATAAATACTGAAAATAAATCCAGCTGTCCAATTTCCAAAAGCCATGACTTCATCATCCAGGCTTTATAAATAGTTTAAAGTTTAATGATCATTGTGTAATACAACTCTGACTTTTTAGGAAGCAATACAAAAATCTCTAAAAATGTTTTTGTAAAAGATGGGAAGCTTGGTCTGATTTGTTCCATTGTTTTTACCTATATGTATCAAAATATATATTTTTTCTCATTATATCACCTGTTAAATCTTACAAAATCTATACTGTTGCTTTAAATATGATTGATCAATCATGAAAAAAATAAATCTACGAGATGACAGAGAATAATTTAATTTATCAGAAAAAATTCCTGAGTCGCCAAAACATACCTGTTAAAACAAAACCCCAAATAAAACAGTAATTAATGGCATCACTTCCTTTTAAATCAAACAGAGCAAAAACAAATCATTCAACATTCAGAATAATCATGATCCGTAAACCTTAACATTCAACTTTTTGTAGTACAGTACCTTTTGTACGTTCACCTTGAATTCCCGGAGGAACAAATGCCTGAGGAGAGGACCGTTTTCTTCGTTTGTCAGGTTCCAACATGCCAAAATGGTGCAAGACTATCCTGCAAAGCTGACCTAAAGCAAATGAAACCTGGTTAAGAAAAGATTAATGTTGAAGTTCATGTCTGAAAGAGTTTAAAACGAAAAAATATTGCAATGATAACAATATCTTCTTGATTTGATTGAGGCATGTTTGATTTTGAATTAGAAATTTTTTTCACACGCTTCCCTTTTAAAAAAAACCCTTTAACTGAATTTAAATTGAACTAAATTTCAGGCACTCGGGTGAAGTTTTAACACCTTTGTGAAGATATATGGAAGGAAACTGTTTTGATTACAGAGCAATGTTTATGAAAAGCAAAACAAATAATCTGATCATGAATTAGATTTTTTTTTTTTTGTATCAGCTCTATTCTTTGATCATATGTTAAAAACTTATACGTTTCACTAAATTTTGGAGTAACCAATGCTTCTGATATGCTTTCATGTTACATAACTGATTTATACTGGAATTCTTATTTTTCAGCTTGACAGAATTACCAACATACTCTAGTTACAGTAAAGCAAAACTCTCTATGTGCCAATAATATCAATAGAAACAGGAGTCTAAAATCTGATATCAACACCAAAATCAAAGGATAATAGGTTTTTCAATGTATTATCTGAAACAATGCCTCTTTTCTTGAAATAATTCATTAGAAATGAGAGGATTTTGACACTGAAAATTGTATTGAAATCTCAAATAACAAAATTAAGTATCTGTTTCTATTAAATAATTAATAATTGGTTCTTACATGTTCAGATTTATAATTGATAATAATGGTTCGGCATCATCGGCTTCCATAGTCATCAGTATTTTGAGGCAACATTTACAGCAACAACTACATTCAATAATATGTTTAAAGAATTAATGTTTTTCCTCAGATCCTGAGTGGCGTGATCCTGGAGGTCCTGGCTGAGGAGTTTCCAGAGGTCGTGACACCAGAGGTTGGAGCAGCATGGACCAAACTCCTGGCTTCTGTCTATTCTGGTATCAAAACCGTCTATGAGGAAGTTGGCTGGACACAACAATCTACTTCCACCGGCTGAACCCTTTAGATTAGTACACCACCTCTAACTGGGATCCTATTATTGCTCTGCAGCTTTAAGCAGCAGCAATCAGATGACTGTAATATTATAATGCAGTTTGTTTTTATCTATGATAATCATGGACAATGTAAAATAGATATAAACATATATATAGCAACACGTACTGTGTCCTTTTTATAGCTAGTATTGTGTTTGTTAGAGAAAGAGATCAACCCTCCCTATGATTGTTCCCTTTTGATGACTAACCCACTGACAATAGAGAAACGACAAGAATATATCAGCAGATATAGAACGGGGGATAAGAGGTCGCATTTGACTCGGGTGTGCCTTCTATTTAATGTGTTCATGCACAAACGGAAACATAAACAGGATTCTTGTTTAACATTCAGATGTTTTACAGATGTTTCCTTTTATCAGTCTGCACATAGTCATGTCACCTACTGTGACCACTGGAGGATTTCTACATTTTCAACAATAATGCCGATGATTGTACTTTTTTTTCCTTCATTATAACTCACATTTGTACCGTATGTTTAAATGAGAATACTTTAAAGTAAACTGAAAATAGAAAAACTTTTGATTACAATTCATGGTGTCATTTTTTTTTAGAACTTAAAGAGAGCTGCCCTTTTTCTTCCTGGATTGAATCTTTCCATATCCTGCTTTGATCAGATGCTGATATCTACATGTGCTTAAAAGAAAATATTTTGCAGATGTCTTCTTTTTAAGTTTTCTTTTTTTTTCTTTTTTTTTTTAATCACACTTATTGTATCAAAACAATATGAGACAATGAAAATCTGAAAATATTTGAAAAGTAGTTTTCAAATGGTGCTGGAATAGAAAAAGGTTATCTAAACCATCATAGTCCCTTTTGAAAGGTTATTCCCCCAGTGATGGCTCTGCCATTCCTGGATTAAAAGCTGCCATAAAGGGCCCGATCTTTTTCCACTTTGTGCAATAGTGGTCATATTGCAGCTGATCTAATATTATTTAAATTCAATTCAAAAATGCTTTATTAATCCCAAACGGAAATTAAATGTTGCACTATACTTATAACTCATGTCAAAATTTAATGGAACATTAAGACAAGCAAACCGAGTTAGGTCCGCCCCATTAAAATGAGCAGATTGTTTGTTCTAGAGGCAATTTGAAATGAGCTTTAAAGCCATAGAGATGGAGGTTATACTAATAGTTATTGAAAAAATTTGCATAAGTGAGGAAAGAATGGAGCAGGAGATCAATAGACGGATCATTCTGCTCCAGTCTTTCATAGTGAAGAGCTGAGCGTAAAGGCCATGCTCTCACTGGTGGCCTACGTGCCTACCCCCATGGTCATGAAATTGGATCAGAAACGAAATAAAGAGATCTCTGATACAAGCGGCTGAAATGAGCTTTCTCTGCAGAGTGGCTGTGATCTCCCTTAGAGATAGGATGAGGAGCTCATCCTATCGGGAGTGGCTCAGAGGTAGAGCTGCTTCTCCTCCACATCGAGAGAAGTCAGCTGAGGTCTTTTTCAGATGCCCCCTGGATGCCATCCTTGTGAGGTGTTCCAGGCACGTCTCACTGGGGGAGAGCCAGGGCACGACCCAGGACATGCTGAAGGGATTATATCTCCTTAATGGCTCGAGAGCACCCCTGGCTTATACAAGAGGAGCTGAAGGAACTGTGTGTGGAGAGGGAAGTCTAGGAAACTATGCTGAAAATGCTTCTTCTGCGACCTGGTCCAAGATGGAACGGGAAAAGATGAGAACCAGAACATTAAGGATAATAAAAAAATATATATTTTTATAGTGTTCCTTTAAAGTTCTGAAACAGCAGATCAACGCCCAACCCACTATCACAGACTTTGCAATGACGTGCTATTTTCTTTTGGATGTAACAAGTGTACAACTTCAAGCTTATCAAAGATCAGGACCTCTTGAGAAGTTTTTTTTTTTTTTTTTGGCAGATTGTGTTATTTGGGGTCAGAGGTGGTTTTGCTTCTCTTCAATTGACTCCCTTGTCTTATTGAACAATGATTACTATCCTAAACTGAGTTCTAAATTTTATTTTTGTTTGTTTGTGTTCTACAAGATGAGTCCTCAATGCCATTATAATCTATATTGATCTGTAAACCACTCCTGGGAAGGTTTATCTTTTCCCATTTTATCACCATGGGTGGATAATGTGTCCGTTGGAGCATGATGTGCAACTTTTTGAGTCAGACAGGTTTTGTTTAAGATGCTTCTTGATTTTGACAGTGGTAAAGCTGGGTGTGGCTAATTAATACATGGTTGAACAAGTGGGAAAACTTTTTCAAAAAGGGAGATATTAATATTTTTTTCCTCTTAATAAATGAGATCATCATTTGAAAAATAGCTATACAGATTATCTGTGTGTGACAGTATATTGAGTTGATTATCTAAAATATTGAAAGTTGACAAAAAAAATCCGACAAATATAAAACTATCTGTAATCACAGTGCACAGCTCAATTGTTGAGAGCAAAAAAGCACTGTTTACACCTGTACAAAAACACCTTGTTTATGATTTAAAACAGCTAATTTCTTTCAGTTCCCAATCCTTTTAATAAAAGCTCTTGAAAGTGCCGGAAATAAATTATGAAGTTCAAAGTATTGCAGCGTCCTTGCACTGCAAAAAATTGAAATCTAAATAAGTAGTTTTTCTCCCAAAATAAGTGCATTTTTACTTGAATTGTGGAGGTAAGTGCCAATGGAACAAGACAATTCACATTTAAAATAAGAAAAAACATTTGGATTGTCTTATTTCAAGTGCACATTATCATATTATCTTATTTTAAGAGTAAGAAGTTTAAATTCCATTTTCAGATCATCCTATTTACCTGCTCAAATCAAGGCTAAATACACTTATTTAAGAAATGTTTTACTTATTTCTAAATCTTTTTTGCAGTGTGCACCAAATGTCATTGCTGTGCACTGTTGATGCTTACCTGTTCCTTTGGTTTACAAGACAGAAAAGTTTGGCTTTTTTAACGAAAGTTTGGTTGTAAAAAAAAAAAAAAACAACGAAAAAATAATCCTAATCATGTTTGGGGCTGCTCGGTGGAACAGTGGCACCAGCACCCCTTGTGATCCGGCTTTGGATAAGCATGGATGTGGATGGAAACCATGTTTGAAAAATCATGATCTGATTGAGCCAAACTTTTAATTCTTATCAAAGCAGCTCTGTCTTAATAATACAGTTGATAAGATACAAGTGTTTTATTGGCAGCAAACTGCAAACTAGATACCTTAGCTGATAGCCCATCTAACTGGTTTGTTAAACTCCAAATAACTCTACAAAAAGAATAATAGTCTGCATACAAGCTCATGAATAACCCCTACCAAAATCCACTGCATAATGATATATATTTTTTTTTTCTTTATATATATATACCGTATTTTCACGACCATAAGGCGCACCGGACTAAAAGGCGCACTCTCAGTTATGTGTGCCATTTCTGTATTTGACACACACATAAGGCGCACCGGACTATAGGGCGCGTTTTTTATATACAGGTACATGTCCTCTCAGGTGGATTTTCTCACTTAAAAACATATTAAAACTACTTTAT